TGAATGGACAAAGAAGATGTGGTACATATATAACAGAATACTACTCAGCCATAAAAAAGAATGAAATATTGCAGCAACATAGATTCAACTAGAGATTATCATACTAAGTGTAGTAAGTCAGAAAGAGAAAGAAATACCACATGATATCACTTATATGTGGAATCTAAAACATGGCACAAATAAACCTACCTGAAAAATAGAAACAGATTCATAGACATAGAGAACACACTTGTGTTTGCCAAAGTTGCGTTGGGGGGGGGAGAGGATGAATGGAGAGTTTGGGGTTGGTAGAAACAAACTATTATATTTAGAATGAATAAACAATAAAGTCCTAATGTATAGCACAGGAAATTATACTCAATATCCTATGATAAACCATAATGGAAAAAATATTTTAAAAATATATATGTATAACTGAGTCACAGCAGAGATTGCCACAACACTATAAATCAACTATACTTCAAAAAATAAAAATGAAAGGGGCAAGAGTAGTCACCTTTGTCAAATGCTGTTGTGAAATTAAAATAAAAGATGTTGCCCACTATACTTGGCATGATGGAAGTCATTGGTGACCTTTTCAAAATCAGTTTGAGAAGAGCTGTAAATAAATCTGTACTGGAGAGAATGTGACAAAGGGGAGAAAGAAGAAATGACAAATAGAGACAAGTGAAGCAAATCTAGCCATGCAACTCCCCTGACCTGAAACTAACACAGCATTGTTAATCAACTATACTCCAATATAAAATAAAATTTAAAAAAAAAAGAATTGAAAGGGGAGTACGTTGAAATCTCTAACTATAATTGTGAATTTTTTTTCTTGCAGTTTTTCAGTTTTGCTTTCATGTATTTTGAAGTTTTATTATGAGGTACGTAAACATTTAAGATTGTTATGTCCTCTTGATAAATTTTCCCACATGCGTTATAAAATGGCCAGGAGCTGAGAATCACTGGGGCCGTCTTGAAGGCTGGCTATCACAGTCCTCCCTGGGGCCCTCACTGACTCTTGTTCAACTTACACATGAAAATATGCTCAGAATATACTCACACCTCCCAAAATCATGTTCCATTACAGTATCAGCTCAAAGTCCACAGTCACATCATCTAAATCAGGTATGACTGAAGTATGGTCCCTCTGTAAGAGTATCTTGGCTACAGTTCCTCTCAGTCTTAAGACTGGTGAGCTAAACACAGAAGTTACATCTGGCTTCTATACATATAAAACATATATTGGCAGGACAGGTATGGGATAACGTCTGTAGGAAAAAATGGGGGGTGGGGAAAGGTGGGCACACAAGAGTCACTGAGTCACAAAAATTCTAAAATCCAGTGAGACACTTGTTGCCAAGTCCTTGATTAGGACTCAAATCCTAAGAATAATTCTCTGTGGCTCTTGGCTCCACTCGGAGATTATAGTTGTCCTCACTAAATTATCCTTCACTTTATATGAAAGCTAGCCTGTGTTTGTAAGCTGAGTAGTTTTCTTAGCTTGCTTCCTCACTGAAGGAGTTTGGGGATTGAAAGGCTTCTCTTCATTTTTTTCTTACAGTTCAGTCTGGTGGTGGTTCTGTCATCGTGACATTCTTAAAAACTTGGGGGTCTTCTGTGACTCTTATTAACAAATCTCTCTTGACACAGCCCTCTGCCTTGAACCTCTGCTGAGACTGTTGAGGGCTTGTGCTCTGAAACTTTTTGGAAGTCCTATCATTTAGCAGAACCATTCTCTGAGGCACTACCCTAGATCTTTCTAAAGTCTTTTTGGTTGTTGTTATACTTCAATTTTTTTTTCTTTTCTTTACATGAATCAGCCATGGATTTACATGTGTTCCCCATCCCGATCCCCCCTTCCACTCCCTCCCCATCCCATCCCTCTGGGTCTTCCCAGTGCACCAGCCCTGAGCACTTGTCTCATGCATACAGCCTGGGCTGGTGGTCTGTTTCCGACCCTCAGTTTCATCTTTGTTATTTATTTGGCCATGAGCCGCTTGAGGGATCTTAGTTTTCTGACCAGCGATTGAACCTGGGCCCCCAGCAGTGAGAGCATGCAGTCCTAACCACTGGACAGCCAGGGAATTCCCAGATTGCCAATTTCATTAGGCAGTTCATATTTTCTACCATCTACATTACTGAAGGCACCAGTGTTGCTAAACTCTCTGCAACTGCATAACAGAGATTTTTTTCCCCTCTCAGTTTCCAATAACATTTTCCTCATAGTCATCTAAGTCACATGTTTATCTTTATTGGCAGCCTCCTCAAAGATTATCAGAATTTTGCTAACAGTCTCTTCAAGGCATTTTAGACTTTCAGTGATCCTCTCCTCAAAGTTCTTTCAGCTTCCTCCCACTGTACTGTCAAAGATGCTTATAATTTTTTATGGTTTTGTTAAATCCACATCTCATTTCCATTTACCAAAGTCTGTTTTATTATCTATTGCTTTGTAATAAACTGTCCCAAAATTTAGCAGCTTAAACAAAAACAATAAACACTTATTATTTCACATGATTTCTATGGGTCAAAAATTTGAGAGACCTCGTCTTTCTCACGGAGTTGCAGTTAAGATGTCAACTGGAGCTGTTGTCAGCTGAATCACTGGAGGATCTGCTTACAAGATAATTCACTCACTTGACTGTGTTGGTGCTGTTAGCAGGAGACCTCAGTTCTTCTACACACAAGACTGTGTGTGTCCTCCTGTCATGATGGCTGCCTCCCTGCAGAGGAGGTGAACAAAGAGAGTGCAAGGAGAAAGCCACAGTGTGTTATAAGACCTTGGAAGCCTCAGAAAGCACACACTATTACTTTCACAATATCCTGATGGTTACTCAGGTCAGCCCTACTAAGGACTGGTAAGGGCCAAGAGGGCTGGCTATCATATTTGGAAACTAAGAGGGAATCAATTCAATGTCTTGAAAACTAGGATTTAAAGGGAAAGAATCAAACATTTATTCTGCATTTCCTATGGGAACTACCGCATCTAAAATATAAAGACAAAGAAAACTCAAAAATAAAAAGCTGAAAAGTATATATACCATGCATATTTTAACAAAAAGAAATCTAGTTTAACTATGCTGATGTAAGTTAAAGTAGACATTAAAGGAAAGAGCGTTAGGAGAGACTAAGGGCGTTTCATAATAACGAAAGGGCCAATCCAGCAGGAAGATGTAATAGTCCTAAATTAATATGCATTTAATAACACAACCTCAAATATATATAAAGCAAACTGATAGAACATAGGGTGAAACATTAAATTACAATCATAGTTGGAGATTTTAACACATCTCTCTCACTAAATGATGGGACAAGCTGACAGAAAATCACAAAGGATATAAAGGATATGAATGAACAACTAATGAAATTGATATACATAAAACAGTGCACCTACAAATCACAGAATGCACATTCTTCTAAAGCAATATATGCTTTGGATATTTACCAAAATGGAACATACACCTGGCAATACAGTAACTCTTAACACATTTCAAAGGAATGAAATTATAAAGAGTATGTTCTCTGAATGCAGTGGAATTAAACTATAAATAAAAAATATAGCTACAAAATCCTGCTGAGAAATTAAATAATAGACTTAAGAAGTTAAGCAATAGACTGACTTCTACATAACCAGAGTTAAAAGAGAAATCACACTGTTAATGAGATACAACAAAGATTTAAAAGATATAAGAATATTATGAGTAATCATCCCACTAAATTTAAATTTAAATAAAATAGAAAAAAAAATCCTTAAAGAACATAACTTATCAAAACAAAGAGGAAATAATCAGAATAGCCCTAAAGCTAATACAAATTTTAATCCATTATTAAAAATTCCCTACAAAGAAAACTCTAGGCACAGATGGCTTTATCAGTAAAATTTCCCAAACATTTAAAGAATAAATAACATCTATATTACACAGAAAATTCCAGGGGATAGGAAAAGAGGAAATTCTGTTTAATTTATTATAAGAGACCCATATAACCTTGACAACCAACACCTGGAAACAACACTGTAAGAAAGGAACCCCAGGTCAATTTCTCTCATGAACATAGGGACAAAAACCCTAAATAAAATATTTGTGTGTGTATGCTCAGTCATGTCTTTCTGTCTGTGGCCCCATGGACTGCAGCACACCAGGCTCCTTTGTCCATGGAATTTTCCAGGCAAGACATCTGAAGTGAGTTGCCATTTCCTCCTCCAGGGGATCTTCCCAACCCAGGAATCAAACCTGCGTCTCTTACATCTCCTGCATTGGCAAGTGGATTCTTTACCACTAGTGCCACCTGGGAAGCCCTAAATAAAATGTTAGCAAAACAAATATAGTAATATATAAAAAGGGTACATATTACATCAAACTGATTTTATCCTAGGATTGCAAAGTTGATTTAACATTTAAAATAAAATCTAAACAAGGGGTACAAATGAACTCATTTACAAAACAGAAGTAGAGTCACAGATGTAGAAAACAAACTTATGGTTATCAGAGTGTAACAGGGGGAAGGGATAAATTGGGAGATTGGTATTGACATATACACATTACTATATATAAAATTGATACTGAGACCTACAGTAAGAACCTATGGCACAGGGACTTAATGCACAGGGAAATCTACTCAACACTCTGATGGCCTAAATGGGAATATAATCTTTAAGAAGAATAGATATATGTGTATGTAAAACTGATTCACTTTTCTGTATACCTGAAACTAATACAACATTGTAAATCAACTATACTCCAATAAAAATTTTAAGAAAACATTTAAAATAAAGGCTAAAATACATAATTGTCACAATTAATGGAGAGTAAGCATTTGATAAAACTTCATACTCATGATTTTTAAAAATCTTTGCAAACTAGTGATAAAAAAGAATGTCCTTAATCTAACAAAACATAAATACAAAAACTTTACAGGAAGCATCACGTTTATTGGTTTTATTAAAATCTAATAAATAGTAAAAACTTTCTCCCTGAGATCCTCTATCACAATTTTGATTCAACAATGAACTGGGCGGGAGGCAGAAATGGACCGCAGCGAGCAAGCAATCTCACTTTAAAAATGGAGTCAGACTAGTCGGTTGCATCGCAGTATCCTAATGGACACTATTTTCCTCCCTTCTTCATAAGCAACAGTGCTATAAAGGATAACCTTGTGTATGATGTCTGCTGAGAACAGACCCAGTACCTGAGGAGGGAGAAGATGTTGCCGCCACGATCGGTGCTGCCGAGACACTGACAGAGGAGGAGCGAGAGGAGCTGAGGAGAGAACTTGCAAAGGTGGAAGAAGAAATCCAGACTCTGTCTCAAGTGTTAGCAGCAAAAGAGAAGCACCTAGCGGAGATCAAGCGGAAACTTGTGATCAATTCACTACAGGAACTAAAACAGAACATTGCCAAAGGGTGGCAAGATGTGACAGCTACATCTGCGTACAAGAAGACCTCTGAAACCTTATCTCAGGCCGGACAGAAGGCTTCAGCTGCTTTTTCGTCTGTTAGCTCTGTCATCACCAAAAAGCTGGAAGATGTGAAAAACTCTCCAACTTTCAAATCATTTGAAGAAAAGGTCGAAAACTTAAAGTCTAAAGTTGGGGGAAACAAGCCTGCTGGTGGTGATTTCGGAGAAGTCTTGAATTCGACTGCAAGTGCTAGTGCCACCAGCACGGAGCCTCTTCCAGAGCAGACACAGGAGAGCCTGTGAGCCGCCCTCCTTTGTTCTGCTACTCACTGCCAGATGCTGCAAGCGAGATCCAAGCACATCTTGTCAACATTCATTGCCATGAACTTCCACCAGATGTGCTTTCGTTGAGCTTTACATATTCCTTTGACCAAATAGCTTGTGGGTTGAACAATGTAAAAGCATCTTCACTCCTATTCCTGGGAAACACCCTTTAATGTGCATTTCAGGCCCTTTATTTAGGAAATATCACAATGAAAACACATCTAGTACCTGGTGATCCTCACTAGAATGATCTAAGAAGCTGTGGGTTATCATAATTACTTACACAATTGCTCTGGGTGTGGGCTACCAGTTTGATCTTTGTCTTCTATACAGGTTTCTGTTTTTCCTCTTTGTATATTTGATTTCTAGATTAGACTGTTCTTTAAAATGATCTGCATCCTGGTTATTTAAAAAGTTTTGGCGAAATGTTCTTTACCTCCAAGGGAAGAACTATCAGCTACACAAAATATTTTTGAATATCGTTTGGGGATAAAGTATCTTATATCTTGGGTGCCTGAAGACACCAGACTAAAGAAATCCACTCTGTATTCAGTTTCTTATAGTTTTGTAAGTGACATTATGTACAGTAATTCCAAATCCTAGGTGACCTGAGAGTGGAGCCCTTTGTTTATCACCATCTGTGACAGTAACCATTTGAGTGCCATGGTTATTATGCCACTTATAGCTACTTACTTTTCACCAGATTAAAATTTTAGTTTTGGAGGAACTTATAAGGTAACATTCTAAATCAAGCATATTGTATTATCAATAGGTTGAAATTTGAACACTGTCCTCAAACATTCAGTTCCAAAGCCTGAAAGTTTTTTTAGATCTAGGTAGCTGAAAAGTGCTAAAATCAATCACATTAGGGGAAACTCTGTCTTCATTTAATTCACTTAGCAGCATTTAAAATAAGCACACCAAGTTATATGACTAATATAACTTGAAAAAATTTTATACTAAGGGGTTGGTGATAACTCCTGAGGATTTCATGCATTAATAAAAATTAACTCATCAAAAAACAAACAAACAAACAAAAAACAATGAACTGGACAATCTCTATTAATAGTGTGTAATAGGCAAGAGCAAGAAATAAGTATTGGAAAAGAAAAAACAAAACTTTTATTATTCACAGACAGCATGATTGAATACATAGAAAGTCCAAAATGAATCTACAGAATTCAGAAGTTAATCTAGCAAAAACCTGAATCCAAAGTCATAAAAATAAATTATTGGAAAAAGTTGTTATAAAATAAAACATCTTAAATGATAGTATTTACCTTGGTATCCAAAATTAATTCTAGTGAAAGTGCAAGTAGATGGGGAAACAGTGACAGACTTTTTTTGGGCTCCAAAATCTCTGCAGATGGTGACTGCAGCCATGAAATTAAAAGATGCTTATTCCTTGGGAAAAAAGTTATGATCAACCTAGACAGCATATTAAAAAGCAGAGACATTACTTTACTAACAAAGGTCCATCTAGTCAAAGCTATGGTTTTTCCAGTAGTCATGTATGGAAGTGAGAGTTGGACTATAAAGAAAACTGAGTGACAAAGAATTGATGCTTTTTAACTGTGGTGTTGGAGAAGACTCTTGAGAGTCCCTTGGACTGCAAGGAGATCCAACCAGTCCATCCTAAAGGAAATCAGTCCTGAATACTCATGGAAGGACTGATGCAGAAGCTGAAACTCCAATACTTTGGCCACCTGATGCAAAGAACTGACTCATTTGAAAAGACCCTGGTGCTGGGAAAGATTGAAGGCGGGAGGAGAAGGGGATGACAGAGGATGAGATGGTTGGATGGGGATGACAGTGGATGAGATGGTTGGATGGCATCACTGACTCAATGGACTTGAGTTTGGGTAAACTCTGGGAGTTGGTAATGAACAGGGAAGCCTAGTGTGTTGCAGTCCATGGGGTCGCAAAGAGTCAGACACAACTGAGCGACTGAACTGAACTGAAATAATGAAGTGCATGAAAGCTACTAAATAATACTAAAACAACTAAAGAAGACTCAAAATTATAAAAATTCATTCCATTTGATCTATAGATTACATTCAGCCCCATTCAAAATCCCAACAGTTTGTCTTTAGAAATTGCAAGCTGATTTTAAAATTATTACAGGTTTTTAAAAAGGCCTTCCTCAATTCCTTAAAAAATCAGAAATAGAACTGCCATATGANGGGGATCGGGATGGGGAACACATGTAAATCCATGGCTGATCCATGTCAATGTATGGCAAAAACCACTACAATATTGTAAAGTAATTAGCCTCCAACTAATAAAAATAAATGGAAAAATAAATAAATAAAAAGGCCCTCCTCAAATCCTATCTTTAGCCAAAGGACTGGTAAAGGGGTGGCCTAGGAGAACAGAAAATATTTTTTGCAATATTCATACTACTCCAGTCACCAAAGCAAAAAATGCAGTCAGCAATTCTGAATAAGGAGCGTAGAATTCCACCTCATTCAGTAGTAGTGAGGCACCATTCTCTCTGCAGAAGCTGAATGGAGGGTCTAGACCTCCATTCCTGCCTGACAGTAACAAAGTGCCCCTCTGAAGACTCATGATGTCAGTAGCGGCTTAATCAAAAGTCTAAATTTCTACCCCTACCCAGCAGTAATAAAGCATTTCTCCCCATGTCAGCAGAGGCTGAGTGGAGAGCATGAATTTTCACTCCCACCCAGTGAAAAAAAGAGGTGTCCTTCCTTACTCCCAACCAGGAAGGTGTCATTGGAGGCCTGCTAAAATACAAGATGTAAATAAGATTTAGAAAATCATAAAATAATACCTAGTCAGTCCAGAGTACAACAAAAAACCACTTGTCATACCAAGAACCAAATGAATACCAAAATAACACCAGATGAACACCAAAATAACACTGATGTTGGAATTATCTGAAAAAGATTTTAAAGCAACTATCATAAAAATGCTTCAATGAGAAATTATAAATAAGCTTAAAACAAGTGAAAGAACAGAAAATTTCAACAAAGAAATAGAAAATACAAATTAGAACAAAATTGTATTTCCATTGGCAATCTAAATTTCCAACTTAGAACTTAAAAATAAAATAACTGAAATTTAAAATTAACTGAATGGGCTAAAATGGTACAAATGGAGATGACAGAGGAAAGAATATGTGAATGTGAAGACAACAATAGAAGCTACCCTATCTAAACAACAAACAGGGAGAAAAGAGACAAAACAAAACAAACAAAAAAACTCTCGGTACTTGTGGGACAATAACAAGAGATCTAGCATTTGTATGATCACAGTCCCAGAAGAACAGAAAGAGAATGATAATGTCTTAATTAAAAAAAAAAAAAAAAGGCTACATTTCCCCCAAATTAGGTGACAGGCATAAACCTACAGATTCAAAAAGCCTAGCATATAATTCCTAAAAAGATGAACCCAAAGAAAAATCATACCCAGAACATCATAATCAAACTTCTGTAAACCAAGAAAGAAGAAAACATCCTGAAAGCACCTAGAGAGAAAAAATGCATTACCTACAGGGGAATAAGAATTCAAATGTTAGATTTCTCATGAGAAATCACAGAGGCCAGAAAGAAGTGGTACACTTCAAGTGCTGGAAGAATGATGAAACTTGAATTCTTTATCCAGAGAAAATACCCTTCAAGAAGGAAAATTAAATAGACATTTTCAAATGAAGGAAAACTAAGAATTTTTGTCAACCAACCTAAGCACAAAGCAAGATCTTTGAAAAAGGATCTTGATCTTGGAACATTTGTAATGAAGAAAAAGACAATGAAAAAAGAAAAATATGACTAAACATAATACACTATCCTCCTCTTGAATTAAAAAAAAATTGTTTGATGGTTGAAGCAAAAAACGAAATTGTCTGTTGTGGTCCTCTATGTAGGTAAAGGAAATATTTAAGACAACTGCATGATGAAGGTGCATGGTAAAGGGATCTAAATAAGGAAGTTTTCAAAATTTTGCTCAAAATGGTAAAGTAAAAATAGTACACTGTGATCAGTCTTTTATGTATAATGTAATATCTAAGCAATATCTAAAACACTACACTTAGAGGAAAACATAGGCAGAACACTTGATGACATAAATCAAAGCAGGATCCTCTATGACTCACCTCCTAAAGTAATGGAAATAAAAACAAAAATAAATAAGTGGGACCTAATTAAACCTAAGAGCTTTTGCACAGCAAAGGAAACTATAAGCAAGGTGAGAATACAACCCTCAGAATGGGAGAAAATAGCAAATGAAACAACTGACAAAGGATTAATCTCTAAAATATACAAGCAACTCATGCAAGTTAATACCAGAAAAACAAACAACCCAGTCAAAAAGTGGGGAAAAGACCTAAACAGACATTTCTCCAAAGAAGACATACAATGGCTAACAAACACATGAAAAGATGCTCAACATTGCTCATTATTAGAGAAATACAAATCAAAGCTGCAATGAGATATCACCTCACACCAGTCAGAATAGCCATCAAAAAATATACAAACAATAAATGCTGGAGAGGGTGAGGAGAAAGGGAACTATCTTGCACTGTTGATGGGAATGTAAATTGATACAGTCACTATAGAAGACTGTATAGAGTCCTTGAAAAACTAGGAATAAAACCACCATATGACCCAGAAATCCCACTCCTAGGAATATATCCTGAGGAAACCAAAATTGAAAAAGATACATGTAACCCATTGTTCAGTGTAGCACTATTTACAATAGCTAGAACATGGAAGCAACCTAGATGTCCATCAACAGATGAATGGATAAAGAAGTTGTGGCACATATACACAATGGAATATTACTCAGCCATAAAAAGGAATGCATTTGAGTCAGTTCTGATGAGGTGGATGAACCTAGAGCCTATTATAGAGTGAAGTTTAAGTCAGAAAGAGAAAGATAAATATCATATACTAATGCATATATGTGGAATCTAGAAGAATGGTATCAATGAATTTATTTGCCAGGCAGCAATGGAGAAACAGACATAGAGAACAAACTTGTGGACATGGGGGAGAGGGGAGGAGAGGGTGGGATGTATGGAGAGAGTAACATGGAAACTTACACTACAATGTGTAAAATAGATAGCCAACGGGAATTTGCTATATGACTCAAGAAACTCAATCAGGGGCCCTGTATCAACGTAGAAGAGTTGGGTGGGGAGGGAGATGGGAGGGAGTTTCAAGAGGGAGGGGACATATGTATACCTATGGCTGATTCAGGTTGATGTTTGACAGAAAACAACAAAATTTTGTAAAGCAATTATCCTTCAACTGAACAATAAATCAATTTTTAAAAAAGACACTCTAGAAAATTAGGACTTCCCTTGTAGCTCAGCTGGTAAAGAATCCCCCTGCAATGTGGGAGACCAGGTTTGATCCCTGGGTTGGGAAGATCCCCTGGAAAAGGGAAAGACTACCCACCCCAGTATTCTGGCCTAGAGAATGCCATGGATTGTATCGTCCATGGGGTTGCAAAAAGTCAGACACGGCTGAGCAACTTTCACTTTCATAGAAAACTAACAGAATGAAAACACAGCCCACAGAATGAAAGGAAATATTTGAATATCATGTAACTCGTGAGGAACTGATATCCAGAATTCATAAAAGACTTCTTTAACCCAACAAAAATGAAACAACTGGATTAAAAAATGGGCAAAAGGGACTTCCCTGGTGGTCCAGTAGTAAAGAATCTGCCTGCCAGTGCAGGGGACATGAGTTCAATCCCTGGTCCAGGAAGATCCCACATGCCATGAGGCAACTAAGCTCATGCACCACAACTTCTGAGCCCAAGTCAGCTACTGAAGCCTGCACATCTAAAGCCTGTGCCCTGCAACAGGAGAAGCCACCACAATGAGAAGCCCACATACCACATCAAAGAGTAGCCCCCACTCGCCACAAGTGAAGACCCAGCACAGCCATAAATAATAATGGATTTGAATAGACATTACTCCAAGGAACATATAAAATTGGGTCAATAAACACAGCCAAAATGTTTACTATCATTAATCATTAGGGAAATGC